AAAATGTGTTCATGGCTGCCTTCTTTTACTGGTGCAGTAAATCACAGGAATTGTCAGGCAGCATCATGTGGTGGGCCCAGACAGCTGTGATTAGTATTGCAAGGCTCTCTTCATATTCTTCATATTCCAGTAATAAATAAACAGTTATTTGAGCAACTTGTAGCACTGTGCTTGGAGTAATTATGAGCCACCTTATTCTATATGTCCCACAGAGTAGAAACATATTTTTATTAATTTCTTTTTCCTGGTGGGAAAAGTTGAAATATGGGCAAAGCGTGTCTACTAAACTAGACTTCTTAATTTTACTCCTGTAAAAGGATAATAATATGATTATTTTCTTTTCAACAACTCCTGTTGTTGAAAAGAAAATAATCATATTATTTAAGGAACAGAAAAATGCTTGTGTTGACTCTACTCAGCACACTGCATCTTTGCTGGGTTGTGTTCAAAATGCACATGGGTAAAATTATATTGAGAATGTTTGTTTGTTTCTTTATTAAAGGGGTTTTTTTTTTCTCTCTTGCTGTTCTTTTTCTCAAGCCCTATAAATTTTATGTACTTGGTGTTAGTCAGAAGACATCACTGTAAATGCTCCCCTTAGCACATTTGCATTGCTGTGGCATCCATAAGCTGTAAGGACTTTGACCTTTTGCTGGGAAAGTTTATCCATTTCACCCTGTGCTATTTTCCAAGCTGGTTAAAGCATCTTTTTATTGCTTGATGGAACCTCCTCCTTGAAAACCCTTCAGCTGTTAACATGCACAAGGGCAGCTCATGCCTCACTGCTGGGGCTGATGGGGACAATGCCCAGCTGGGCTGCTGGGATTTAGGTCCTTTCATCCCTTTGCCACCCACACCTCCCTGAAATAGGATCAGCCTTGGTGGAGTGCCCTGAGAGCAGAGTCCAGGCAGGTTTGATGTGCAGGCAGTGCTGGGGGAGCAGGGTGGCTTCAGGAGCAGCCAGAGCAGTGCCAGAGCTCCATCCTGGCCAGCATTCCCCTCCTTTGATGCCATTCTTCCTTCTCAAGTCCTCCAGGACAAATCTGTGAATTCCCTTCCTCTGTTCTGCAGGGATCTGCAGCCCAAGTAAGATTTAAATATTTATTTGTCATTTGCAGAGCATTATCTGAGCCTGACTGGCAGGTTTTGACTTTGTAATTTGTGTATCTGTTGAGGAGCAATGCACGGATGGGATGTGAAGGTCACATTGCAGCAGGGGCTGCTCATCCCTCTTTGTTTGCTCCTCCTGTGCCAGCTGGAGGTGCAGCAGCCTGGGGAGCTGCTGGTGCCATCTGTGGCACGGCCAGAGGCAGTGGGTGATGCCAGCCCTGCTCCTGGTGCTGCTCAGACTCCGAGCAGCCCCAGCTGGACACGGGGATCAGGGATGTCCCCAAGGCACCTCTGTGCCCTGCTGCCTCTCCCCATGCTGTGCCACACTGCAAGGCAGGAGTGAGCAGCTGAGTGCAGGGAAATGTCACCTGCATTCCCTCACTGGGGCAGCTGTCAGCTCCTCTGACTTTTGGGAAACTGAAAGACAGAGTTCCACCGTGTCCTTGTGGAACATCAGAGCAGTAAAATGCTTCTGCAGGAACCCAGACATGCAGACACTTTGCCCATACCCACAGAGGAAAAGATTAGATTTTAATTTTTAAAAATCCCAACAGGTTTGCCATACCTCAATTTGATTCAGGCCACAAGGTTTCTAGGACAGTCAGAAATCCCAGTTAGGAAGGGTGCAGGTTTTTCCCTTGTACTCAAGGGATGAAAACCCAACAGGCTGAGTTTTCAGTGCAGACTGGAGACAGGTTTTCTCTGGTTTCAGTTATTCCTCAGTGAAATAAACCCTGTGGTTGATTTTTAAACGTAAGGAACTTGCTGCAGCCAGAGAGCCCAGCTAGGGAGGCCAGAGCTGGCTGTGCCTGGTTGTTCCACAAGAGGAATGATGATCTTTCCCTTTCCCTTTTCCCCTTCCCACAGCATCACCCCAGGTGGGAACACCTGGAACAGAGGCCCCTGAGTCATAATTTTTCCTTCATGTTGTAGAAGAGTCTTGGGCAAAATACTGGAAGAGCTTCCCTGGGGAATGGCAGGATCAGTGCAGGAATATTGGATTGGAGGTGCAGGAGGATCCTGGGGATTCATGGAGTTCTTTAAGGAAGGCAGTGGAAGGTATCTCTGCCCATGGAAGGAGGGATGGAATGAGATTATTTTAAGGGCCATTTCAACCATTCTGTGATTCCATGACTCTCTGACAGCCCCAGAAGCCTGGAGTGAGCCCCTGAGCAGGCTCTGAGCTGTAGTGGTTGCCCTTGAGCACAGAAATCAGCTCTGCCCCTGCTCTGCCTTTGTCATGGGAAATATTTCCAGTGGTTTCGGGGAGCAGTGAATTCTTATTTCTTAAACTCAGCCTGAAACCACAAGAACTGCTATAAACTGGCTGGCTCTAATAAACCCAGTGCTATAAGTCAGCTGATTGATACTTGTATAAATCTTGTATTTTTCCCCCAAGTTTTCCTACACTTTTCACTGGATTTTTTTTTTTCTTTTTGCTATAAACCCATCAATCTGACAGCTTTTTTTGCCTCTGTCCATACGGTCCACTAATAACTTCAGCCCTGCAGACTTTCTCTCCAGGAAATGCCATTAAGATTTTCCTCTAGCAAAAGTGAGCAGCCCTTCAGAAATCCTTTATCAGGCCTGGTTTTTCCTGGTGTGGTTTGCCTCTTGCTTTTTTTTTTTTCATGGATAGCTGTAATTTAAAGCTTACAAGATCGATAAGTCCAACATGCACAGCATAAATGGGAGAAGCAGACAAACAACTGGTAAAGATAGGAGACAGCTGATGAAAATGAATTCAGCTATAAAGCATTTGAGTTACTGTTCTCTGCTGTGATTTCTGAGAGAGATTAAAAAATAGGAGGAGGGGGAGATACAGATCATCATTCCCTCCTCCCTCAGAATCTCAGGTTGAAATAGTGTTGAATTTCTTCCTTTTCCTCTAAATAACCAGGAGATTTTTTTAAAAAAAAAAATTATTTGGAGGAGAGCTTTTAATCAATTGCAGGAGAATTGGCTTAATGCAGAGCTAACTGGGAGCAGTGTAATGGCAGGAAGTCTGGACCTGATGTAATAACAGCATCTTGTCTTGAACTCCCTGAGTCCAGCCCTGTGATGAACTGAAATCCTGAAAATGGCCTCTCTTCTGCCCTGGTTTGTGGCAGAAGGATTTTTCCACTCTGCTTTGCAGCCCTGGTAATTCTGCACGGGGCTGGGTTGGGGTTTGCTCTCTTTTCCAGCCCAGGCATGTCTTGCAAAGCTTGGACCAGGCTGGCACAGCTTGGTTGGGCTGTGCCCAGCTGGCACAGGCTGTGGCTGAGGAGATTTGCATTTGGCATTACAAATTGCAGTCACATTGCTTTGGGGAGGTGGAGGCTCTCTGAAAGGCTGAGTGCAGTGCCAGCAGGAGAGCAAACATTGCTGAGCTAAAGCCTCAATAGAAGTCAAGAAGGATTAAGGTGCAGCTGAAAGCAGAATTGGGGTTTCTAAATCACCTCAGAGCTTTAGAAAATGTTTTCTGTTCACACCAAAACCATAATTTATCGACTGAGGGGTCAAACTATAAAATATATGTGCTAGTGAGTTGTGTTTCAGTGAAACTGCAGACTTCTGTTGATGGGGAGATTCTTACCAATGTTCCCTGTATGCCCATGGCCACAGAAGCTCCCTGAAAGGCTAAAGATGTGTGTGGCAATAAGCACTGACATTTTATGTGTTTACATCTGTGCGTGCTGAAGTTGGCTCTGCTTACCCCAAAAGATCAGGGGCACTTTGCAATGTGAATTTGAAACACTCTGGGAAAGGAAGTCCAGGGGCACGTGGGTACTTTGGGAGAGGGGTTGGCCCTGTCCATGGGGAAATAAGTCTGTCTGCACCTGGTGAGATGAGAGCAGATAAAGAGATTATCAAGTAGTGACAAGAAAGAAAATAGGCTAGCTGAATTCCTCTTTGTCACTTCTTCTCCCTCAAGACGTCTCTCTGAATATCATACAGAGAGGCTGGAAAGAAAATAACTTTTAAAGGTGACCCACAGAGGTAAAACCAGACCAAGATGGTGTTTGTGTGCTCCTTTTGCTCCTGGGTGACACAGGAATGGGGTCTGGTGCTTGCACTGTGCGAGTTGTAACATTTGGGAGAGCAGGAAAAGTGGGATTACAGCTCCAAAGTCTGTTCTGTGCTTTTGCTGCTCCCAGCACACTGTGGAGCATCCTGTGACCCAGCTCTAGGTGGGAATATCGAGGTCAGTGGCAGAGGTGTGTCCTGTCCTTTTAGTAAAGATACAGAAATGCAGCTCTTGGTCAATGTGTTTAAAACAGGTGGGATGTATTGGAAGAAAATCCAAAAAAAAAAAACCACCAGTTAAGGGATCTGTTTCCTCTTGGACACACTTTTCTTCCATGAGTCATTTTTATTTCTTTTCCTTTAAAGAAAGTAACTATTGAAAATCACTTTGAAATGTGTTTCATGTTACGAGAGCAATAATGTAGGTGGTGATTGATAAGATTTATTGTTTCTGGGTTTGTGTTATCTTGTGATTCTGAGGAAAGCTGAATCTTATCTGTTTGGTGTTGTATAAACACCTAACAGGCTGCAGAGAGCTTGTAATGTAAGCAGACAAGAAAGGCAAAGGGAGAGAGGGGAAATGTGCAGAAAAGTGCCTCATTCCAAGGCCACAAACCAGGTTTAGAATAAAAATCAGATCTTCTCACTTCAGCCCATTTTCCTCTATTCCATGGGGTATGTTGCTTCTGTTATTCAAATGTGGAAAAAACTCTCCTTTTCCAGGTAAATGAAGGCCAAGGAGAATGAGATCAGACAGAAACTCAGAATACAGGGGAAAAAAAAATAAAGCAAAGGAATTGTGCTGATAAAGGTGCTGGTTTTAGATAAATTGAACATATGACATGCCATTACACAAGTCACAATTCTGTCTTTATTTCTAGATGCAGTAAAGTGGGGAGAAGGATTCAGATGTAGAACTACAGCCTGACCATGCACTGATGAGGAAACAGCCCCATGTACTGGTTAGAAATGCATGCTTTTCTTTTTAATTAAATGTTTTGGATGTCGATTGGATTTGCCTCTCTATCTGAATGATCACAGTTAAAGTCATTGTAACCATTTTGGACCTGTTTGATACCATTTCTGTCTGGAAAAAACTCTCTATAAAAGCACAAACGTGTGTGTGTGTATGTGTTTGTGCAGGTAGGCAGGTTCTGGAATGCTTCCCTGTGATTTTAATTCCCTGGAGGGTGTGGACATGCTTTCAGAGCCTGACAGCTCTGAGGTCAGATGGAGCTTGTTTGTCTTCTCTTTTTGCAGCTCGGGTAAACATTCATTTGTTATTGTGTGGAGCTGAGCCTTAAGCCAGGCTTTATCCTGTTGTAGCAACTAATTGGTGAGGAAATTGTGATTTTACATTTAAAAAACACCCTCAGTTCTGGAGAAAAAGGTGCTGTGGCCATTCCACCCTGATTATTTCAAGGTCAGTGTCCTTGAAATAATCAGTGTCCCGTTCTGCTCTCCAGCAGCTGCTGGGATTTCCCCCCATCAGGGCAGGGAAGGGCTGGATGGATTTCCTTGCATTTCCTAAAAGTTGAAGAGAAATAGCGGAAGAGCAGGGACTTCATGGTGGCACTGCCAACAACTGTTCACCAGGGAGAAAAGGCTTTGGAGCCCTGGAGTTATTTATGGCTTGGACTTCTCCAGGACAGTTTGTTTCCACGGGATCTTAGTGCCCATGGGCCTTTCCTGTAGGGAGATGTGCCTGGAGGAAATAAAATCACACTGGCAAGGGGGTTCTGTCTGTTTATTTAACTATTTTTAAATCCTATTCAGAAAAAAAGAAAAGAAAACCCAACCCTCCTGTAATTCTGTTGTCTTTCTGTTTGTGGCTGCTGAAAAGGGTGTCTTGGCTACCAATATGTGTATTTCCCATGAACTTCTTTTAACAGGAGCTTCAAGGTGAAAGCTTTGCCTACAATGGGAATTATTTACACCATAACTTCCTATTGAGCTGCCATTTTTTTAAAGATTTTGTGTTCTGCTCACTGGCCTTGACTGCCATAGACAGCAGGTTTCTTACATATCTGCTGCTGAATTTCATTTTGTGAACTTTTGTGGTCTGTGAAATTCAGAACGACTAAGTTATTGACAAAATGTAGTTTGTCTGAATAAAAGGTTTTAGGATTTTTTTAAAATTCTTTTCTTATACCCACTGATAAATGGAGTTTTTCCATTACAGCCAGCAATTGCTCCAAGTAGAAAATAATTTACTAATTTCTGATTAGCCCCAGCTAATCAGGCAGGCAGTGGGATCCAGCTGCTGTGTAAGTCCAGATCTCCATAAAATCTGGTTATATTTTCATTTATCTCATTGTGGGAGCAGCTCTGACCTGAAAAGCTGACTTCCTTGTGTGTTTGTGAGTTAGCTGATAAACTTTCCCTCTTTCAAGCCCATCCAGCTGGAAAAGCCACCATGGAAAGCTGGTTTTTGGGTATGAACGAAAAAGAAGGAATATTTACTCTGTTTTTCTTAGTGGACAATCTTTGTTGTTTCTTCTTGCACATCTCCAAAACCTTCTCCTACCTTTTATCCCCCAAACCTTCTCCTGAACGATTTATTCTGTTTTTCTTAGTGGACAATCTTTATTGTTTCTTCTTGCACACCTCCAGAACCTTCTACCTTTTCTCCAAACCTTCTCCTGAAGGATTTATTCTGTTTTTCTCAGTGGACAATCTGTGTTGTTTCTTCTTGCACACCTCCAGAACCTTCTCCCACCTTTTATCACCCAAACCTGCTCTCTGGGAGGGTGCCCCATGGGCTGAGCTCTTCCATTTCCAGGGAGGAACACTGGAAATGCAGGCACAGCATTCCAGGTGCAGACTTGAGCAGAATTATTGAGGTTGGAAAAGACCTTTAGGGCCATCAAATCCCACTGGCTGCTGCAGCGCTGCCGAGGCCACCACTCACCCCTGTCCCCATGTCCCCGAGTGCCACATCCACACGGTTTTTGACTACCAAGGATGTCCTAAAACGCTTCAGCCTTTGGAGCTGGAGCCTGGCTGTGCCTGCAGTGTGGATCTTTGGAATTGGAGTGTTTCTTCCCTTTGCACCCAGCTCCAAGCACCCACTGCTGTGTTTTTGTGCCGTTTCCTCTCTGCCTGAACCCGTTTCTCAGGGCAGGGATCAGCCCCGTGACCTCCCTGCCCTGGGTGACCAGAGAATGAACCCAGAGCCATTCAGATGGGGCTCCAGACTGGATTAATCTGTGCTGCCCCACAAATAACTGCATTTACTCACACAGGGGCTTTTTATTTAAATGCGCTTCTCCTCTTTGTCAGAGAGAGGAATTGTAATTAAGATTTCATTATGTGATGAACTCCCTAAATTTAGAGCATTATTGGTGAATCTTTTCCTTTCTGAAACCTTTTAAAATCTGAACCTGAAACCTTTTAAAAGATATTTGGCAGTGGGAAAGTTGGTAATCGTTCATTTTCATTTAAAATTCAGGGCATGATATGTGAAGCTGTGTTTATGAGGAGGGTACATGGTCCTGTCATTTTCTACTTGCTTAAAAGCTACATAAGTGGTTGAGGAAGCTCCCATCCTGAGGAGAAGAAAGGGCTCATTAAAAAGATTAGCTCATAGAGAACAAATTAAACTTCAGTGCCCTGCATAAAGATTATAATAACTGTAATAATAAATGAATTAATAATGCATTAAAGGAGAATTCCTCCAGTCAGCTTGTCACACACTTATCCTTGAAAATTGACTTCAGCGAGGTGTGTCACATGAGCTAATGACCTTAACTGATGGATTTGGGATTTTTCCACACTCCAAAATCTAATCAAACCCATATTTCTGAATTTTTGACAGTTAGTTTGCTGGGTAGACATGCAGTAAGTTGGGCAGTGTGGGGAGGAAGCTCTGGTTTTTACCTCAGGTTATCAGAATTGGGAAATCCTTGGAGCTCTTGGAAGGGGAAAAATTGGCAATCCAGGGCTGGGGGCAGCACATCTGCACCAGAGGTGAACATCTTGGGCTGATGTGGGATGCAAAGTTTAGATGGAACTGACAGAGAGTAGGTTTAGATCAAATATTAGGAAGAAATTCCTTCCCTGTGGGGTGGGCAGGCCCTGGCACAGGTGCCCAGAGCAGCTGTGGCTGCCCCTGGATCCCTGGCAGTGCCCAAGGCCAGGCTGGACACTGGGGCTGGAGCAGCCTGGGACAGTGGGAGGTGTCCCTGCCATGGCAGGGGTGGGATGAGTTGGGCTTTGAGGTTCTTGCATCCCAGACCATTCTGGGATTCCATCTGGGGAGCTTCCATAAATTTGAAGGGCTTGTTCCCACTGTTATAAATATGAGATCATCAGGATTTAGGAATTAGTTACCAAATTCAGCACTGAAATAAGAGGCATCCGTAGGGGTTTAGTTGAGGAATTGTGGGTGCTGAGGCATCTCTAGACAGCAGAGAAGTGAGAGTTTGGGGATTTCTGCAGTCTCCCCTGGGTACGGGCTGAATTTCTAATGGTTATTACACTGGGGGAAAATTGAATTAAGGGAATTGATTATCCAGACATAGTAAGCCACGACTGGTTGTAAAATGCATCTTTAGGCATCTGGGTACCTTTAAAATTAATCCATTATTCACTCCTGAAACCCAAACCTGCCCCTCTAAACCCAGGCACTGCTGAAGATGGAGTTCATGTGAGCCATGAGGTGGATAATTTTTAGAATCTTGAAATAATTGAGGCTGGAAGGGACTAGGGAGGTTCAAAAAGGAATCTGTGGGTATTAGATGTTACAGGGAACACTTGTCCTGTTCCTACAGAATCATGGAGTGGTTTGGGTTTGAAGGGACCTCAAAGATCATCTCATTGACATTTTCCAGCAGCCCAAGTTGCTCAGTTTATAATGATTGTGTCACACTGGTGCTTCTCTGTGTCCTCAGTTACACCTGCAAGCAGGTATTTGTAGGTGTTGATTTAACACGGAGCTTTGCCTGTGAATGACATGAAAGCAAACTCCTTCTGGGATGCTTTCTATTTTTAATTTGAAAATAATTGAAAATGCGTCTCTAGTGTTTTGTTGCTTTTATTGGAAGGGTATTTTTTAATAAAAATCTCATTCAGCATAAAAAGGACAACATCAATGGGGTTCTTATCAGTGCTTTGCATCATGTTAATTCCAGAGCCAGCGATGAGTTCTGCAGATATTATACCAGAACAAAGGAAATTATTCCAGGGATTTTATCAGAGAATATTTTGAGTTTGCTCGTCAAGCCAGGCAATATGTGCTGTGCTTTGTTTGCTGGCTGGTGTCAGAGCAGCTGAGCAGTCGCTGGAGTTTGCACAGGGATTCTTTTCTCTCCCTGCACTGGTTTGCTTTGGCACATCATTTGATCCACGCTGGGAAAACAGTGAGATATCAAATAAAAGTGATGCATTAATAGTGGAACTGTTACAGCCCTGAGCAGTGTTGCCTCTGCACATCTGAAGTGGTCACTCGGGGTGCTGGAAGCAGAATCCCTTTTTTCAGCCTTCCCACGATAAAGACTGAGCAGTGAATTGTGAATTTTGGAGCAGAGCAGGTTCCTGTGGGTGAGGAGGGAAGCACGGCTCTGCCTGCTGGGCTGGATCTGCCCCTCCAAACCTCCCCATTCTGCTCTCAGGGCAGCACAAGGAGCTAAATGCTGAGGTGTTCTTAAATTTCCAGTAACGAGGCCGGGCTCATTAGCACTCTCATCAAATGGCTTTCAGTTGCTATCAGTCTGACTTGGATTTGAATTGATGACCTTGAGATAAAAGGCTTTTTATTCTATTACCCATCTCCTGAGCCATCAAGTCTTTAATATGCCGTGTAAAATCAGTTTTCAGATGGTATTTCTTTTATATAATGTCATCATTTGTTACTAATGATGTCTGATTTGGGGTGCTACAAGCTATAATTGTGCACAATAGTACTTTTGTTATTCCTATTATTTCAGATTTATCTGCTGTATTACCAGCTACTTGTAGACAC